GAGAGAGAGAGAGAGAGAGAGAGAGAGAGAGAGAGAGAGAGAGCTGCAACATGCAGCATGTAAGTGGCGGGGAGCACAAGGGCAGGCGCTGACCTCCAAAAAAAAGTAGTAATTGTGTTCTTTTCAAAATCCGAATAGAAAGGGTACACGTTGTATTCAAATACAACGTGTTCTATTCGAGGTACTGTGATATTCGAGAAAAGTGCACCCACACCGTTTCAGTTTCGAAAAAGGCTCGGCCTCCTCGGGCTCCTACGGGCAGCTACCGGTCCTACGCGGTCCTAGCCCTTGCAAGGCCCCAAAACCTCAAAATTCCCACCCTCCGGACGACCACGACGTTATTGACGTTGAAATGTCTCAGGGGGGGGAAACACAACCCTGACAGGCTGCTAACTGTGGTATTCGAGAAAAGTGCACCTGCACCGTTTCAATTTCGAAAAAGGCTTAAGGACCGCGGCCTCCTCAGCCTCCTCCGCGCAGCTACCAGTCCTACACGGTCCTGGCCCTTGCAAGGCCCCAAAAACTCAAAATGCCCACCCTCCCGACGACCACCGACGTTGAAATTTTGATTGACGTTGAAATGTCTCGTGGGGGAAAACGCAACCCTAACGGGTTGCGAATTAAATTAATTTTTATGGGCCACGGAGGCGTCATACAGGTAACCTTGCTTTAAAAAAAAACAAAAAGAATTCAATCTGACAGGTTGAACTCGGGAGCTGGTGTGGCGATGCTGCACTCCCGAAAATGGTCAAGTCGGGAGTAGTGTGGCGAGGCCCTTTCTCTTGGCCACACAGGCTGTCGAAATTGGCGATGGGAAATAAATTCGCAAGTTGTCAAAGAATGCTTCTGGACCCCTCCTGTTGAAAGTTGTTCGCAACCCTAAGGCTGCGGTATAGTGTGCTTCCGCGTCTGTGTTAAGGTGTCGCATTTTCGATGGCGGGCGACCAGGACGCAAAGTGGGTTCTTAGGGGACAAATGTTTTTTGGGGACCACTCCTTGGCAAAATTGCGGGCTACCTACAGCTAGCTCTTCTAGACCCGTGACTTTTGGAAAAAGGAAGGACCGGTCATCGGGTGGAAGTGGACCCCAAAAAGAAGTGGGGGGCGTTGGACCGGTCCCCAGGTAGAAGCGAACCCCAAAAAGAAGTGCGGGCATGTGAACTGCAAAAGGGCCCTCAGGCCCAGGCATTGAGCCCCGTCTTCTCAAAACAGGGAGGTCGGGCACAACGAAATAGACGCTTTGCAAGAGGCAACTTTGACGATTTTCTGTGCTCAGACGAACATGCACAAAAATCTGAAATTTTGAGAATCCATAGATGAGGTCTTGTTCTTTCCAGAAATAATAATAAAACATTTACAAAAAATCATTTACACTGCGAAAAAATCGCCGTTGTGACGAACCGATTTCCGCACCACGCGATTTTCTGCGCGGTAG